ATGCCAAGACACACAGAAATGATGATTCCCTTTTGAAGGGCCCAAATCCAAAAATATTAAGGGTACTTGCATGGTTTCCACAGAAATATGAAGCAGCTCAACTGTTTTCAACATTGATAATCTTTTGCAGAGGGATTATTTACTTATTTATTAATTATTTATCAATTTTTCATTATTTTATTGTGTTTTTATTTTTGATATTATTTATTGTATTATTGTAAAACAATTTATTTATTTATTTATTTATTCATAATTTGTGGATTATTGGCTGGTGAGGGGGTGGGGGGCTAGTTTTGAGGGAGCATTGTTGGAGTGCTAGTGGGTGTGTGAGTGTGTGTTTGTGTTTATGTGTTTGAAATATCGTTTATATTTTACTTTGCATCATCTTGTTTTGTTTGTCATTTTTGTAAGGACCCCCTCGAAAATAAGATGGTACATCTCAATGGGCCTATCCTTGAAATAAAGAAAGAATAAAAGAAAGAATAATTATAAGTGTTACAATAATACACAATAATGTTTCTTCAGCATCAAATCATCATATTAGAGAGATTTCTGAATGATCATGTGACATTAAAGACTGGAGTAATGATGCTGAAAATTCAGCTTTGATCACAGGAATAAATCACATTTTAAAATATATTACAATAGAAAGCTGTTATTTTAAAGTGTACAAAAAATTCACATTATACTGATTTTATGATTTTTATTTAAATTGTGTATAGTCACTTTTATAAAATGTTTGCAATTTTATATGTTAGGGGACATTTATATTATACAGAATAATAAATAAAATATCTTTATTTTTTTTATTTAATTTAATTTTATTATTTCCTTTAGGAGGCTATATTTCTACACAGTAAATGTTTTGCACCCACATCACTCCTCTGATTGGCCTCGTTCTCCCATCTGTCACTGAATGAGTGATCATGCGTGCTGCAGGTTCGCTGTTGGTTCATTTCTCATCCTCACGCATTCACCTCCTGCTCTTCTTCCTCTTTGCAGGGAACAAGAGATCCCGTGTTCCTCACGAGAGGGAGTTTCCCACCCGATTGTCCCGTCTGCAGTGAGACGCGCATCAAACTCAGCGTCTACGGTGTGAGTGACGGCCACCAGCAGACGGTGAGTGAAGAGGTTTCTCTCCTCATCAATCAGAGCTGGAGACTCGTGTTACGGCTCTTCTCGCCT